TGGTGTACATGTGGTGTTGTGTACCAAGGACAAGTTGGTTTGCAAAATTGGTCACTTCATGGCAGAGTTAGTAGTGACTCAAAGACATCTGGGGCTGAACCTCACAGATCTCCCAGAGAAAGAGAAGGCCTTATATAAGCAAGGGTATAAGCAACATGTTCATTGCTTAGGGTTTTTGGTTGCTATCGGCAACATGCTTGTTTCTTTAAGATTTTTTGGATGTTATTGGCAACATGCTTGTTGCTTTAAGCTTGTACGGGTATTGGCAACATTGGCAACATTGTCAATTACTTTTCTAAGTGATTGGACTTAGAATTTGTGCTTGATTGACATAAAAAGGGAGAATCCCATAGAATTACATTAAAGTAGGAACCCAAATCATATTCAGAGACCACAATATCACACAGACCACAATGGAGTTTGGCTTTATTGGCTTGGGCCAGAAAGCAACCACTTACCACCTGCATAGCAATGCCAGGATTTCAGGAAAAAAAGGACCCAAGAGCAGATACATGCTGAACCAAGGCTTTACTGACAAATAATAACTGAAAAGACTGAGTTCTGAGCAGAACTTCAACAGCAAGTCAAAATCAAAGGGGTCTTGAAAGCCAGGCAAAGGTCCAAGTCCAGGGAAGCAGTCCAGACAGCAACCGAGCCTATTCAGAAGATGAAGGCAAAAAGGAGGGTCAGAATGAGCGATGCAGTTAAAACACCAAAGTGCAAATTTGGACCAAAGTCAGTGGCAAACCAGAGTCGTTAATAATGAGACTGTCCGAACTAGCAACTAGGTTAGAAGAGAAATCTGAGAAATAGAACCAGAGATGAAGAAGGGTCAACACTAAGATGGGCAGTCCGATGGCCTACCAATGTTGTTCTCCAGCATTCCAAATAAATTAACACGTGTGGAGAAAAATCTTTTTCTTTTACCTCACATCTCTCTTGTCTGTGGCAGCAAATGTCAAGTGCAAAGGGGGTAAAGACATGCTTTTTTGGGCGTTAAATCATGCAGCAAATACCACTAAATTGTCTACCGCAAACCTTAGGAAATACTGTTGCATTTTAAACACTATTCTCCCATAAATTTTGTGTCTCTAAATGAAACTCTTGCAAATTCGTAAGACATAAGGTCAGCTGCAAAAATAACTGTTGCTACATTTTTACTGCTTGAAAATTTAGGCAGTAGTTATTTAACGCCAAAAGAGGGTTTGTGTTTGCACAAGCTGTTAGGAAATCTGCCCCTTATTGTTTAATTAATTGTTTTAGAGTAATACACAAAATTCATTACATCATTGTCTTCTAAAAAACAAACTGTAAATTAATCAGTGTTACAGAGATTTACCATAGTTACTTTTGAACATTTATTATTTATATTTCAGTAACCAGACCACTACTGGCTAAATGAATGTAAATGTTTATAATAACCATTTTACCTCAAGTGAAAATCTAGGTGAATATTGTTGTGAAGGTTCTAGGTGAAAGTGTAAGTGCATCACTAACCCTGAATTGTCAGGATGCTAAAGTCCATTCACAATAAAATGTCATGTAATCCCTCCCTGACATGTTCTGACCAGGGCATAGGGCAGGAGGACGTAATGTTTGCAGCACAAGAATGCATTAAGTCCATGTTGAGCAATGGTCAGCACTTAGTCAGCACAAAGAGTGTGGATTCCACTTTGTGACAGACAGTGAAAGCCTTTATGAAGACAAGTATAAAAAGCAAGTTATGTGATTAAGGTCAAATGAAGGGCAGTTTTGTGTATCTCATGACAGCTGTGTTAATGCAGCCATACAGAGAACCAAGTGATTTAACAGGGTTTGATTGACCTCAGAAGGATAAATGACCCTTGCAGCAACCACATACCATGATTGGTAGGCAGGTCTGATCAGCTGACAATGAGTCAATCAGTCACTAAATCTTACATGTGTATTAGCATGTGTTTAACTGAGAATCGCACAGTGAAGCAAAAGCATTAAAACATCTCCAAACTCTCCAAAAAAACAAACAAACTGTAGTTTATGATGATGTATTGTGCCCCCATTCACGTTACTATAATGTAGATGTTATACACTATAAATTTATGTTATACACTATAATGATCCTCATTAGACTCTCATTGCTATAATACTGTAAAATACTGAAGTATTGTGGGAATGTGAGGAGGTGCAGAAGTTTTGGGTTGGGGTTATTCAATATGTTTCTCAATTTACTTCCTCTCCAATTCCTCTATGTCCTGTAATGTGTTTATTGAGTACTGTATGTATGAAGACAATTGCTTTTTGTCCACTAAAGAAAGAAAGCTAGTGGATTTGTGTCTATTACAAGCAAGACGTTCTATTGTCCTGTGCTGGAAAAAATACCAATTGCTCTTCCATTGGACTATGGCTGAAAAACTTAATAACATGTTTGAAAAGCTTACATATTTATATATTTACATGAGACTGTCCGAACAAGAACAAGAAAGAAACCCTCTGAATTTTTGTATATCTGGGAGGTGTTTTTAGACTTTGTTTAAAATGGAGATATTGAAGAAGCTTTAGATGTGTAAAGTTATTGAATATAAGGCTTTTTTTTTTTTAAACCTGCCTGGGGTATGTTCTGGGGAATGGTGTTTGGTTTTTTTGAAAAACTTTGTAAAAACTCAATAAAGATATGTAGTACAAAAAATACAGAAATATATTAATTTAATCTACATCACTGTACATTCCAGGCAGTACAACAAATACTATCATGATGTATAAATGCTGGAATACTGTTTTTTATTATTACAGTAAAGGCAATTATATATTTTTAGATTATATTACATTATTTCTCTTGATTTTGGTGTGAAATATAACAGGACATGCTTTGCCACATTTACCCCATATATGCACAGGGTCATCAAATTTCTAGGGCTTTCAAACACTTGGCTTCTGCACGCGATATCATTCTCCCAGCTCAGTTGCCGTTTGGGTGCCTGCAAAGTGCACACCAGTTTCAGTAATTAATATTTCATGCTCATGGCCAGTGTTGCTGTAATCCTGTCTACTTAAGATACAGCAGAGTCAAGCCATTGGGTAGTTGTTGGCTTCATCATATCAATATATAAAAGCAGATGCACCCTTCTTAACACTTAACACTCTTATTCTACGTCACTTTCAATGCACCCCTAGTAAAAAAAATATATCTATACATACATCTATACATACATTTATTTCATACTAAGTATAGTTAAAATCTTTTAACATATTTACTGACATATCGCTTGAGACTTACTGATATAAAAATTATAAATAAACTTTATTTGTAGTACTACTTGTACACAATGCACATTTCTTAATATTAATATTATGTGTTTTAATGTCACTATTGATGAGGATTGTATGATCTTTGAATAATATCGGTCTTTAAATGCAAGATATTGAAGTATACTTGGAATAGTTCCACTTTAGCACAATCAAATATACTTCAGTATACCTTGCAACTCAGGGTATACTGAAGTGTATTTGATTGTGCTAAAGTGGAACTATTCCAAGTATTCTTCAATTCAGCACTACTTCCACACAATTAAAGTGCATTAAGTACAAAATTAGTTGTTTAAGACCTCAAGTATACCAGTTTAGTACCAAAAGTACAGTTGCAGGGTATTTTTATTAAGTACATAAATATGTAAATGTATTTGTAGTATACTTAGCAGAAAATAAATGTATTTCAAATATATTTTTGTATATACATTCTTCACTATAGGGACATCAAAGATTAAAAATAGTGCCAAACCAGATCTATTAGTAAATTTAAAAAGAAGGACGAAGTATAAATAAGTCAAACACTGAAAAGTCCATTCAATGTCACTCTGATGGTATGGAAAGTTTCTTAGAGGGAAGCACTTTAATATAAATTGGGAACAAAACAATCAGTGGAAGGTTCTGAATTGTTATCTCATTTTATGAATCTATTACTATTACAGGTGAAATCCTATTAATAGCGAGTATGAAACAATGTTTCTTTATGCTGTATGTCAGGAACTATTTAAAAAAATAAAAGGTTTGATTTATTCAGCATAGATAAATCTCAAGGAACCTGTCTAACATGTGTTCAGGTCATACTGTATTTCACTTTAAAATCAAATTATGGTGACAAAGGGGAAAATGTGTCCTATTTATAGTGTTTTAATGTTTTTAAATTATGCATTTCAGCAATGAAAATCATCATTGATCAAAATTTGAAAATACTCAAAAACAAGCACAAAAGAAGTATGTATGGAAGCAGTATGGTAATGGAATTTACAAATGGACAATGGTCTCTATTCTGGTTTTACTGAGAAAAAGAACACGATTGTTCTGGACCTGTTGTAATTTTATGAGCTAGTTTTATAATTCTGCTATATTTAGAATGTGTGATTTCAATCACATTGCTTTTATATGCTAAACTCACAGTATGCGAGATATTTTGGGTAAAAAATTTACTAATATTCCGACATTTAGTGAGTACATAAAAACCTGTTCAAAACTGTGCCCTTGTAATGGTAAGCCTACAATAATGACTTATGGTGGGAAATTTCAAGATTGTAAAAATGTGTTATCTGTCAGGTTAATGTGTATGTATGTATGTATGTATTTTTTATTATTATTTTATTTTTTTATTAATTTATGTATTTTTTATTAATGCATAATTTTTTAATAAGTAATGAATTTGCTTATAGCAAAGGACAAAAAGTCAGTGTTTAGCTTTATAATGTTGTACTGTATATAACAGGTTTTTATTCAAATGCAAGACTAAATTTAAAAACAGCCACCCTAGTTAGGGTCAAGCCATCCCAGCTTACTGAAATGAAATATGTGAAGAAAATAATAAAAAGGTAAATTGTAAATAAATAAATAACTTGGCAACTTGAGTATAAATTGTAGAATTAATTTGTTTGTTGGTAAAACTTGCTTTGATTGTTTGCTTTCATTTGCTTTTGAATGCTATGATATTTTTCTCATTTTAACAATTGTCTTTATCTACCTTACTCCCGTCTTAGCTATGACATGGTCCATTATGGTCATTCCAACCAACTTCGACAAGCCAAGGCTATGGGGGACTATCTCATTGTGGGAGTGCATACTGATGGTACTCACACACACACACACACACACACACACATAAACGGTGCCAGACAGTGTTGTTTGTTGATTATATTGATCTTAGTTTCATGACAGTGTATGTGTTACACTGTCATGACACTCAATATAAACAACAAACAACACTGTGTAACACAAATGTAACACATTGACAAATTGAATAAACAAATTGGGGGAGTGGGATTAAACTTTACGTATGATTATTTACGTTTACTTTTGTGATGAAAGATTGTGTACCAAGAATGTGGGAGTTGCATAGATTGCATAGACAACAGGCTTTTCAATCAGTGACTGATATGTTTTTAGCTTGCACAGATGAGAGCTGACACGAGACGTGGAATAAAGGCATGACTAAAATAGGTTTTGATTGATTTAGAATTTTCATATTAGAATATAGATGGGTCGTGTTGTGATGGGGACTCAAAGGCTTCTCTCTCTCAAAAGTATCTAATAGTACAGTACACACTGGCATGAAGTTAAGTGGTGGAGAAAGGGGAATAGGATCGGGAAAGGTCCTTGAGTCAGAATTCAAACTTAGGTCACTAGTGCAACCGCACTACATGTCTGAGCACTGCCCGGCTCTGAGCTATCAGGCAGAAAAGTGGTCAGGCAGGCATGTGTCAGAATCCAGATCAGTCCATAGATCAGTCCATGGGCAACCAAATCCCAAACATTAGGTGAGAATCAAGGTCAGACAGGGAGAGAGATCAAACGAGGGGCAGACAGCACCAACAAGGGAATCAGAAGGTCATCAACATAAGAGCAGTCCAAAACTGGTGGGTTCTAGAGGGAAACAGGTAACCACAACACAAACTGGGCAAAAGAGAAATACGTGAGCAAAATAAAAAAAAAACTGTTAAAGAAGAAAAGTTAAGAAAAAAGTTAAAGAAAAGTTAAACACTGAATTCACAGACTGGACAAGATAACAGCAAGTTGAAAACCACTACTGTAGATGAAGATTGTAGACATACTTTTAATCTGAAGACTGCATGTTACTTCTAAAAGTGCTTAATAAAAAATGTCTGTTTTATTTTTTTAGATGTTGAACCAGGAAACCATGCTGTCTAGCTGTTAAAATTAGAAACAACTTTTGGAGAGTTTGGCCAAAAATTTCATAGTGAAACAAATAACAGAAGATGGAAATGAAGTTGACAGATTCTAATGTCTCTCTTTTCATGCAGAGGAGATCTCTAAGCACAAAGGTCCCCCAGTGTTCACCCAAGCTGAGAGATATAAGATGGTGCGAGCAATCAAGTGGGTGGATGAGATCGTGGAAGGAGCTCCATACGTTACTACGCTTGAGACTCTGGACAAATATTGTTGCGATTTCTGTGTTCATGGAGGTCAGAGCCTAAACATAATAACCATGTCTAAACTGTGCTAAAACATTGATATTAAAAAGTAAGAATATGAGACCCCCAGGGCCATGAACCTGTGGATTACTGGATTGACCGGATTACATACATACTACACACATTCATACTAAAAAGAACATACATTTTTAGCTCTTACAAAGTAAGTACTTACAGTACAGTAAGGTACAGCTAATAAAGTGGTAGCACTTTATTAGCTGTACCTTACCTATTCTGTTCATGATGAGACAGTGCTCCTGTCCACAAATTGAAGTCCATATAAAAAATGTCAACAATCTGTTCATGTTCATCTGTTTGTGTGTCCTGCATCTAAGTAAAAGCAAAGCTGAATGGTTCCAGAGCATCACTACTCTCCTCTGGAAATATAGTTTTCAGTAAATTGTTCAGTAACTTGTTTGGTCTTGGTCCTCCATGCACAGTATTTTAGGCACAGTATTCAACACACCACTTCACAGTAGTTCACTTACGCAAGCTTTATTATGACCTGAATCAACTGGTCGTGTCTCCTCAGATGACATCACTCTCACTGTGGATGGGAAAGACACATATGAAGAAGTGAAGAAGTCGGGCAGATACAGGTAAGCCCATTCACACCTCTGCTGCTCATGCTGCTAATGTTTAGTACGGTTCTTATTTAAAGTGGATCTTTTTCAGAGAGTGCAAGAGAACCCAAGGTGTTTCCACTACAGACCTGGTCGGCCGCATGCTGCTTATGACCAAAGCTCATCACAGCAACATGGTGAGGCCCGAAACATACTCAACATTTGTAAATGCAGACAGGTCTCACTAGGCAAGCTTGATTTCAAACATGTCAGACCTCAGTTCATAATTCAAGTACATGTTGCAACTGGGTTGTAACACCCAGTTTTATGGAAACATTTACCATCATATTGTTGTTCTTTTTTTTTCTCACTATTTGTTATAATGGTATAGCATATTCACCCTACTTTCACTTACTTATTTATGCTAGTTTGCTTGTCACTTTGGTACCATGTTTACACCATTGTCACCTCCACCTTACTGTATGTCTTTAACTCTCTCACTGATATTGTATTGGAACTGATCATAAAAAGTATCTGTTCAAAAATCTGTTCAGGATTTTAAAAAATACCTAGAATACTGATGTTCATCACGACACAGAAATGCAAAAATGCACATTAAGTATGTACACGCTTGCAATACACCGGCCAAGCATTCACATCTGCTTTTGCAGACTTGTGTAGAGTATGTTTCTGATATGTCTCTGGTACTGTATGCTATAATTACACATTGTCAAATTGGACATTCATTTCTTCCTTTCCTCTTCAGGGCAGTTCAGACTATCAACAACACACAGACAACTTTGGAAGAGTGAGTGTTTTATTCCCTTTTGGTTGTTCTTGTAGTCTTAATCTTTTTTTTGAAGAGTGAAATGTTTTGAAGTACACTACAGAGGATTTCTTGGGTAGTTGGGTTATAAATCAATTATTCAACCAGTACTACAGTATTGTATTAATTTGTGTACAAAACCATAGTGCCTTAACCAAATCAGCATGGCAAGCCTGCCATAATGATTTTGCAGGTATCTTTTTTTTTTTTTTTTTTTTTCAACTACAAATGTCAATAGGGAGCCCAGAATTCCATAGTACAAATAAAATAAAAAATTGATTAGTCATTCTCAGATCCCCCTCTCCCTCCCAGGTGTAATGAGGATTCAGTGACGTTGGGATCCATGTGCAGCTTTATTAACAAACAGACAGGCAAAGTTCAACCAACAGTTTACAAGGGCAACGTAGGCAAGGCAGAATCATAACCTGAGTCCATGCAAAGGGTCGAGGCAGGTGGCAGACAGAGAAGAGAACAAATCCAATAATAATGCAAGGTCAAAGAGGCAGGCAGCGAACGATCAGACGGGTCTAGACAATTCAGGTAGGCAACAGGTAATCAAACAAGGTATAAACGCTCGGAAATGTCAGCAGTAGCAAAAAAAAGACTTGGCATCGAGGCGAGGGTATGGTAGGCACTGATTAAATAGTCATGATAATGATTAGCACCTGGTAATCAGTCCCAGGGCAGGCAGCAGCGAACGATCAGACGGGTCTAGACAATCCAGGTAGGCAACAGGTAATCAAACAAGGTATAAACGCTCAGAAATGTCAGCAGTAGCAAAAACAAGACTTCGCAACGAGGGTATGGTAGGCACTGATTAAATAGTCATGATAATGATTAGCACCTGTGCAGGTAATCAGTTGCAGGCATGGGGTGATGGGAAATGAAGTCCTTAAGAACAGTTAGTACTCCAGTGACGGTTCCCTCTGGTGGTGATCGGAGGGAGCCACAGAGGCTTGATTTGTGACACCAGGATTGTTTACTTGTTTTTCTGCTTTGCCCTTTTGTTCCTCCTTCTGCTAGCATTGCCTTCACATGCCTCTGCCAAGTTGGCACATAAAAAGCTTTATTGTCATCACAGTCCATAATCAGAGACTGAGCCATGAATGGCACCTCTGTTTCTGAGTTTAACATTGACTAAATAATTCCTAGTCATTGCCTCCAAATGGAGAGAGAAAAGTTCTTTAATGTCCCAAGACCTTCACTGGACTTGACAAAAACAGCCATTGCAAAGGACTCAAACTTGACTTAGGTGCACTGTATGTCAGAGTGCTGACCACAAAGTTATTGTTTGTTCAATCATTATTGTGTGCTCTTGACATCAGAAAAAAACACTTGTTGGCTTCTTCAAAGGGCTGCTGATTTAAAACGAGTTCTTGGACCTGTCAGAACCATCTCATTGTGCTCTATATATTGTGTTTAAGTATAATAAATGTATTACTATAAAAAATGTGTGTTATTAACAATGATTAGTTTAATGTTTAATGATTAATGTTTATTGTTGTAATATTTGTTATCATTTCTGTACTGCTCACCACAGGGCCCTAAAGGCCACAGTCCCTGGACAGGAGTGTCACAGTTCCTGCAGACGTCCCAAAAAATCATCCAGTTTGCCTCAGGAAAGGAACCACAGCCAGGAGACACCATCATCTATGTGGCTGGAGCTTTTGACCTATTTCGTATCCTTACACGCTTAGACAGTAATTAGAGCACCCAAAATTTCTTCTGTTAAAAGCAAAGGAATAAAATAAAATATATTATATAAATGTTTGAAAAAAATATATAACTGAATGCATTTATAAAAGAGATTTTAAATAATCTGGTGGAGGTGAAGATTGTCACTAAATAACAAATTCTGTGTGTCTGTTCCTCACACAAATTGTATGACTTCAGGTGATTGAACAGACAGAATATAAATGAATTTTGGGGTACATTTTTCCTTGTAAGATAGACAGTTGGTGAGCATTGGTTACTCACAACACCATCAAGAGCTATTACAGCTATTACACTACTGAAAGTAAAATAAATTGGAGACAGGACAGGTCCCCCTATTATATAAAGCTATATAAATCACTTTTATATACAAAGGTATATAAATAACCTCACTGGGCCATAAACAGTGTTATCATTGTTACTCTGTTCATTCTCTTATCTATTGTCATTTTTATTTGGCATGCTGGGAACTTTATGTTAAATGCTCTGCAGAAAAAAACAAAACAAACAAATAAATAAACAAAAGAAACAATAATGTCCTTTCAAACGCACAGTGTGTGAGCATATTAGTCTATGCTGGTAATTATTCTTCAGCATTAACGCAAACAGCTAGCACAGAATAGAGATTCATTATGCTGTCATTTGATATTTTAAAATAATGAATCGATAATTGTTCATTTTATTTAGTTTTCACATGGGGTGCAGAACTCTTGCTTTCTGTATATAATACATTCACAATGTGAATAAAAGTTTTGTTTGTCATGCTGCTAAGAGGTTCAGTGGCTTTTTTAACATTTTAAAACTCTCTTTGGATGTTTTGTGTAAAATGTTCAATTTGTTTAAGAAAATTTAAATGGCTGACCTATTCTCCCTGTGGAAAATACAAATTAGGTCCTAGATTTTTTGTCACTGTGGGTAGTTTTACCAGTGCTGTAGTTTTTCTCACTTGATTTGTGAATGTGCATACTGTATTGTTTTGCCCTTGAGACCCCCTGCATTCTTTGCTTTTTCTGAGAACACGAGTAAGACAATAATCATGTTGTCCTCTTTAACCTGATGCAAATCAGATATTGGCCATGTGGATTTCCTGGATGCAGTGTCCCAGCTTTCAGAGAAGCCATATGTTATCGTGGGCTTGCACTTTGATCAGGTAAGCTGAATACAGGAAAATATTAGAAATATATTTAAAATTTAAATTTTCTTGGTTAAGCATGATGCTGATTGTCTTTCAAAGGACATAAGAGATGTGAGAGAAGAAGGAGGAACTGCATGTTTGTTAGTTTTTTTTATTATTGTTATCATCACTCTAGGAGGTGAATCGTTACAAGGGGAAAAACTATCCAATCATGAACATCCATGAGAGGACTCTGAGTGTGCTGGCCTGTCGAGTGAGGATTGATCTTTTGCCCATTTATGTCTTGTTTTATATAAATAGTTTGATATGAATGAATTTCTATATTTTGTTTTCAAATCTCCCAGTATGTCTCTGAGGTTGTTATTGGAGCACCATATGCTGTCACAAAAGACTTATTGGACCATTTCAAGGTAAACACTCTTCCACTGTATTCGATTCTTGACTTTTTGTCAGACTTGCTTAACAGAGTTGGATAGAACTGGTTTTTGACCATCAGCATAAAAACTGTGGCAGTAGTCATGTTCACACAGACAGTTTTTAGGATTGACAACAGTATTTACTGTACTATACTGTATAACTGTATTAACAAATATGCCTTGTAACCCATAAAATGATTTTTTAAAATTATTAAAATTATAAAATTAATTTCTAATTAATTAATAAAAAATTAATTTCCAATATCTTCTAATTAAAATAATAAAACTAAATGTTACGGTAAATGAAATAATTTTTACATTTATTTTCCAGAAGAACTTTGCATAGAGTTGTGTGAACTCCACCCTCAAATAAGAGGACTCATAAAATATATAAAATAGCTGATTAGAGATTGAGATCAGACAGATTCTTAATTTGTGGCCACAATATTTTTTTCAGAGACGCAGTGCGGCTATTTAATTTGCGACCATGCTGGTCATGCAGCTCATTTCATAGAGTTTATTGTAATTTACTTCACACACTCATTATTGCATAGTGATTTTAAAGGTTTTTATAATACTGTATTTATAATACTGTTATAATGAGGTATTCAGTGTTTGGACACATTCGTATTGTAGGTAAAGGTCATGTAGGTCAAAACCGCAGTTGAGTATCCTAAAAATTTAAGGGAGTGAGTTTGGCTATATAATGCAGTTACTCTTGGTAATAACCAATATGTGTGGGAACATAACTGATTACTGAAAA